GATTTGTGAAACTTTGAACTTGAGAGAGATGACTTAGGATATCTGGTGGAAGAAATTTCTAAATCTCAAAGCATTCAAGAGGAAGCATAGCATAAAAGTTTGGAAAATATGTAGGCTGACTGTGAGACAGAAAATAAAAACCCATTTTCTAGGGAGAAATTCAAGCCTGCTACAGAAATTCACGTAAGTAACAATGAGCCAAACGTTAATCACCAAGACAATAAGGAAACGTCTCCATGGCATTACAGAGACCTTTTCAGCAGCACCTCCTATCACAGGTCTTGAGGTCTAGGAGGGAAAAATGGTTTTATGGGCCTAGCTAAGGGCCCCCTGCCTAGTGCAGCCTCAAAACCTGGTGCCCTGCATCCCAGCTGCTTCAGCTCCAGCTATGGCTAAAAGGGGTCAACAGTCAACTCAGGCTGTTGCTTCACAAGCTGCAAACCCCAAGCCTTGGCGCTTACATGTGGTGTTGGGCCTTCCGGTGCACAAAAGTCAAGAACTGAGGTTTGAGAACCTCTGCCTAGATTTCAGAGGATTTATGGAAATGCCTGGATGCACAGAGAGAAGTTTGCTGCAGGGGCAGAGCCCTCATATAAAACCTCTGCTGGGCAGTGCAGAAGGAAACTGTGGGGTTAGAGCCCCCACACAATGCTCCCACTGGAGCACTGCTTAGTGGAGCTGTGAGATGAGAGCCACCATCCTCCAGACCCCAGAATGATAGATCCACTGACAGCTTGCACTGTAGACCTGAAACAGTCACAGATACTTAGTGCCAGCTTGTGAAAGCAGCCAGGAGGAGGCTGTACCCCACAAAGTCACAGGGCCAGAAATTCCCAAGACCATGGAGGCTCATCTCTTGCATCAGCATGCCCTGGATGTGAGATATGGGGGCAAAGAAGATCATTTTGATACTTGAAGTTTTATTGACTGCCCTATTGTATTTCAGACTTGCATGGCACCTGTAGCCTCTTTGTTTTGGCTAATTTCTCCCATTTTAAATGGGTATATTTACCCAATCCTGTGTCTTCATTGTATCTAAGAAGTAGCTACTTTACTTTTGATTTTACAGGGTCACAGGGAGAGGGGACTTGCCTTTTCTTAGATGAGTCTTTGGATTTGAACTTTGAGTTAATGCTGGAATGAGGTAAGACTTTGGGGGACTGCTGGAAGGGCATGATTGTGTTTTGAATTGAAAGAACATGAGATCTGGGAGGGACCAGGGGCAGAATAATATGGTTTGGCTATGGTCCCACTCAAATCTCATCTTGAATCCATAATCCCCAGATGTCATGGGAGGGACCAGGTGGAGATAATTAAATCATGAGGCAGTTTCCCCCGTCCCATACTTGTGACAGTGACTGAGTATTCATGAGATCTGATGGTTTTATAAGGGGCTTCTCTCTTCCCTGGGCACTCATTCTCTCTCATGCCACCCTGTGAAGAGGTGCCTTCCACTATGATTTTAAGTTTTCTGAAGCCTCCCTGGCCATGCAGAGCTGTGAGTCAATGAAAACTCTTTACTTTATAAATTACCCAGTCTTAATTATTTCTTCATAGCAGAGTTAGAACAGACTAATACATACTACCTTGTCTCATGACCTGTTTCTGCATCTTCCTCCTGATATCAAGTGCTGCCTGTGTAATAAATTTGTCCTTTAGGATTTGTTGTCCCTCAACTGAATCAGGAGATTGAGAAGTATGCTTTACCAAGGCCCCTCTTAGTCTTTCCAGGAAGGCAGTGGGATTTTCATTAAATCCCAGGACTATCATGCACAGTTTGGAGTAGTTGAGATGTTTAGTTCTAGTCCTTTGTAAGTTCTCCATTATGCACAGCTGAATGTGTTTCCTATTCCATTCCATTTCATCATTAGGATCCCATTTAGGGTCCTCTAATGGTACTGCTGCTCTTCCAATTGGATAAGACTCATCTTCCCTGAACCTATATGAGATACAAAGCTCATCCCCAAATCTCTCTGCCACTTGCAGGGTAGCCTGATTCTCAGTGTCAGAGTTTGATTCAAAGGTAACATAACTTCTTTCCAGGAAAGTTCAAATACTTGAGTTAAATTCTGAAAAGCCTCTCTATACCTGTCAGGGTCATCTGAAAATTTGCCAAGGTCCCCGTAATTTGGCTTAAGTCCAGTAAACGAAGGGGGCCCACACCTTACTGGGGCCACATTCACGAGACATCTGTTTTAGGGGCAGGAGTGAGACTGGGACCTGTCTAAAATGAGGACGTTTAGAAAAGGGAATGTGAGAGAGAGAAACTGGATAGGAAGGATGGGGTGGACCTGGAGTAGCAGGGGCAAAGGGAGTTGGCTTTCCTGCTGGAGGTGGCTCTGGGGTTTCTCTAGTTCCCTGGCATTGCCCCTTGCAGCCTCTCCTGAGATGGCCAATATGAGGGCTGGATTAATCCCACAATGTCAGCAAAGGTCTGAGTTATTCTGCAAGGCAAAGAACGCCGGAACATATGTGACCTACCATCTGCTCTCCAATTTACAGCAAAAGTCCAGCTGCAGGATAGTGTCAAATGGCTTCCTGAGGCCAAGCCAGTCATTTCTGCAAATTATAATTTGGCCAAACTCATGAGCAAAGAGCTATGAAGTATTATTTTTTCTCCAGAGTCTGAGGGTCAAAGCAGTCCCAATGATTCAGGATACACTCCAGAGGAATCTAGACTGAAGATAGTTGGTTACCCATCTGAAAGTGAGGAAAAGATGCATCTCTTAGTTCCTTTTCTCTCTTTCAGTGAAAACACAGGATGTATGAGGGACAGAAAGAAAGGGAATCCCCTTTTCATCTTCCATGCTTTTTATCCCCAAGTTCCAGCAACCTACTCAGGTACTGCCCATGGATTCCAGTGTGACCTTCACCCATGGACCAGTGGGGCCTAGATGGTAGGAATCATTCATACTCCCCTACCTGCTCCCTATTACCTCTGCTGTCAGTAACCTTTGAAGTCTGTAGACCTCATCTATGCCATGAATATAAGTATGGCCTCCTTCCATGAAGGGAGTGCCTAATAAGCAGGAATTAGTCCTGCCCACCTATGTTGTGCCCCTTGACTTCCATTTTTGCCTGCCTTTGGATACCTCAGATCTAGTTTTCCTTGAAAACTAGAAGCTTGAAATTGAGTTTCTGGTACATGGTACCTCAGGGTTGTGCATGGGTTCATTTAAATTAAGTCTCAGAGAGCCCTCGCCAAATTTACAGCCAGAAGCCTATGGGGCTGCTCCTCCATTGCTTCCCTACTATAAACAGGGTGCTAAAGTGAAGTTGTGGAGCCAGGCCCTTCTCAAACAAAGGAGGCAAAAGAAGTTCCATGAATTGGAGACCTAGACTAGTGAGATGCTTCCTAAAAGAAAAAACAAAAAACAAAAAACACTTCTCACATTGAAAAGCCCCCAGTATGTGCAGGGTTATGTGAAATCCTGACATGGTGGAAAAAAGAAAAAAAAAACTGCTTTAATGTAGGGAGGGAATGGTGCCTGGAGGAAAAAGGCTCTTGCTCTATGCAAATTGTTTTTTCAACAGAGGGAAAAAAAGCATCTTAACTACTGCATACTCCCTGCTTCTCAGAATAGATGAAAACCACATTGTTCTAAATTACATTTTTGATGACTGGGCCAAGTGCTCATCCTGCCCAGTATATCTTTGTAGTCTGCAACAACACTCTTAACATTATAAGAGATAGGAGCCACTAATCCATGAAAGAAGGAGGAAAAATGCCATAGAAAAGTCCAGGGGTCTTGGCTGAAACCCTAGTGGGTGGTCGGGGACTGGAGCCAGTCAAGGGGCCTTCAGGCAAGGCTGAGGTGTGGCCTTGGTCAGATGACTTCAGTTGCCCTGGAACCTTATTCCAACCCATGCAACAGCTAGACCTCCGCGAAGAGAAATAAAGCCAGGATTTCCTACACCCAAGAGTCACAGGGGATGCGGGGTGGCAGGGTTCCCCCTCAGCACCCTGTTCTCTGTATCTGCTCCATTTACTCTTAACTAGCTAATCAGAGGTTCGGCTCTTTGTCTGCCTTCAGAGAAACATCTAAGGACAAGAAGCCTTGGAAAGAAGAGTGAAGAGTCATAGATTCATGTTCACTCACCCTTCTGATGAATCCCAGACAAGCCCACAGACTACTAGATGAAACCTATGGAAAAAGAAGGGACTCAGACAAGAGCAAGCTAGTAAAAAAGCAGAAGAGAGAGAAACCCAAATGAACGGTACATTTCCAAAGTGTTACTCTGCTGAACTGGCATGAGATACCAGCAGTTCACCCCTGAGATACATTATCACCAACTTTCAAACTCTCTTGAAATCCATAGCATGTAAAAGACTGGTACTGTACTTTAAATGCTGCCTTCTCAACTTTGTCATTAAAAATGACAATGTTTTCAGTAGATTTAATAAATCACTACTAAATGTCTTTTAGTTTCTTCATATGTAGTTACTCTGAACTGAATGATTCATTTTAGCTAGACGAATAGGCACATTGTGAAAATCTCCTTATAGGAACAAAGAGACAAGGTGTTGGCAGTATTCTTTGTCTCACGATATGAAAGATTTCAAAGACTTCTTTTAAAATGTTTAAAAGCAAGTAGTTGAGACACATGCTACCTCCCTAAAGTTACATCAGTTAATTTATTTAAACCGCTTCAATTTGTACTTTGAGTCACAGATACTGTAGGACAAGCAGTGATCACAATATAGGACATTTCTATAGCCAAAAACAATGGCATACTTTAGGCCTGAGTCAACTGATATGGTCAAAAAATGACATTATTAGAAAACCAGAATGTGATCTCAGGTTTTGCCATTTCTGGCCAGACACCTTTAAGATACGTAAGTTTCTTGGCTACAGTTTTCTGTTTTATTAATACATACAATCAATATTTATAAAAGAAGAAAGCTAGACAAAATCAGTTTTTGTGTTAAGTGAGCTAGTTGTCACTGGACTGAGATGAACAGCACAATGCTTGGTGCATGACCAAGCATTGAATCGCACTAAAAAATCTGGATCATCAAATGATCAAGGTGTCTCTTAATGCTTTGATGACCACTCACAAAATATCTCAGCTGGGTATTGGAAATTCCCCAAAAGAGAAAGCACATTTCAGGTTCAGAGCTCTCTTAGGAAGAATATATAAATATAATTAAGTAATACTGTCTTTTTTATTTGTTGTTGTAATTATTTTAATGATTTTTATTTTATTTTATTTTTGAGACAGTGTCTCACTAAAATTTCCAGGGCTGAAGTGCAGTGGCACGATGTTGGCTCACTGCAACCTCCACTTCCTGGATTCAAGTGATTCTCCTGCCTCAGTCTCCCGAGTAGCTGGGAATACAGGTGTCTGCCACCATGCCTGTCCAATTTTTTTATTTTTAGTAATGACGGGGTTTTACCATGTTGGCCAGGCTCAGGCTGGTCTCAAACTCCTGACCTCAAGTGATCTGCCCACCCTGGCCTTCCAAAGTGCTGGGACCACAGGCATGAGCCACCATTCCCAGCCAGTTATCATTAGTTTTAGATAATCCGTTATCATTTAGTAACATTTCTGAGGGTATATTTTGTGTTATTTTATTTCCTGCTGCCTGAGAACAATAGCATTGTAGTGTTGTTTTTTTTTTTTCCTCTTCTTTTATAGATCATTTCCATGTCCCTTAAAATCGAAATGAGCAACACAAAGCCTAAGTTAATTAATTAATTAATTAATTATTGTGGAAAAAATGTGAAATAAAAATTACCATTTTAACCATTTTAAGTTAATTTTTAATCCTTTTCACTTAGCATAATATCTTCATGTTTCATCCATATAATAGCATGTGTCAGAACTTCCTTTTCTGTAAGACTGAATAACATTTTATGACATGTATATACCACATTTTATTTATCTATTCAACCATCTATGGATACTTGTGTTGCTCCTGCCTTTTGGTTAGTGTGAATAATGGTGCTATAAATGTGGGTATTCAAATAACATTTTGAGTGTTCTTACTTTCAAAGTTTTGACATATGCTTAGAAGTGGATATGCTGGATTATATGCTAATTCTATGTTTACTTTTTAAGGAAGTACAGTACTGTTTTCCCTAGTGGATGTATCATCTTACATTTCTATCAGTAATGAGTACTGGTTGCAATTTCTCCACCAACATGTGATTTTCTGTTTTTGTTTGCTAATAGCCACCCTAATTGGTGTGAAGTGGTATCTCATTGTGATTTTGATTTGCATTTCCCTAATGATTAATGATGCTGAGGATCCTTTTATGTACTTATTGGTCATTTGTACATCTTTAGAAAAACGTCTTTGCAAGTCTTTTGCATATGTCTTAAATTAGGTTTTTTGTTGTTGTTGGTGGTGTTGTTGAGTTTATTTATTCATCTCCCCAACCTCTCAAGAATAAACAGGACCTACATTTTAATGACAGAGAAGCAAAAATGAAAGTACTGAAACCTAAGTGGCCTCACGGTAAGTTATGGTTCAAGAGCCAAGGTGACTACCAAGGTCGGAACAACTAGCTTGTTAGGGGAGTAAAAGATGCTACATTAAAGGGAATCATCATTCTGCATCTTACTAAGAATAGTTTGTCTATGAATGGCAAAACAAGGTTGTTTCACAAATATTAAGAAGTAAATGGCTACATGAGTTCAATAAATTATACTAATGTCATTGCTATGAAAATAGAAACAGTAATTTGTCACACTACCCTCATTTAAATGAATTTAAATAAACTTCTTTTTTATTTCTTCAATCTGTCACACACAAGCCATATGCAATTGAAAATACCATCCAGAATAACGTAAAGAATGTTTCTCTTCATTTCAAATGAGAAAGAACAATATACAGATAGAGGTCTCCTATCTCTATCCTCAAGATACTGATAAATTCTCTAAAAAATAATGAAAGCTGGTATACTATCCCATCAGAATTTTTTTTCTTAATTTGGTTCCCAAATGCTATCATTCTGTAGAAATTAAACAGGTGTCACTTGAGAAATAATTCTGCAATTTAATAAAGTATGGTGGTTAAACACAGTTAAAAATAATACATTGCTATAAACTCAGAATTATTAAAATAATGTGCATTGCAAATCTTTGTAAAAGGAACATAGTATAATACAATTTTGAAACATCTTTCTGTTTGGAATTGTGTCTTTAGCTAATTTGGCTACCCTTTCACTGCTTCATTCTTTGCCTGGTATCTAGTGAGTCCTTAGTCAATGGTCAGTGTTATCTGAACAGATGAGTGAGATCTAAGCAGGAGGAAAGGCATATACAGTACTCAGATAAGCAAACACATCTTAAGAGAATTACTTATTGTGCACCAGAAAAAGGTACATTTTCTTGTTGCTAAGAAAAACAAAACTAACAACAACAACAACAACAACAAAACCCAGAAACATCTTCACCAGAACTTGTTTTAGTTGAGAGTAGAAGCTGCAGATTGTTAGGTTTTCTATTGCCAACATCATTGCTTCAATTATTTTCTAATCTTTAATATCACTTGCATCATGAACTGAAGGCAGGGAACTTTTCATTTTAGTGGCAATTGTTTTATTTCACTGAAATATGATAAATGATTACTCTTATCTTAAGACAAAAATGCAAACGTTATTAATGAGTAATGAAATGAACTACACAGCTCTTTAAATTGTCCAGGCATCAAATTTGATTCTGTGACCTTCTAATGTAGGATATTTCAAGAAGTAGGCTAAATTCACTCTGAAACAATGTTTATTTCTGTTTGTTGTACATTTAATGGCCTTTCAAGTTGTCTAAAGTCATCCTGTTCCCATGATCTGGAAAATATCTGCATAAAGCATCCTGGAGGCCTTTTATGACATATGAAAAGGCTTGAACTCCAAGAAGAGCATTGAATGCCCCTTCAAGAGTTTTTAACTGCTGCAGACATCACAATGGTCCTGTCAATCTGGACGAATTTCCACTTCACTTACACATTGGGCACTTGCTTATATCATCATGCAACTCCCATCTTCATATGTCTTTAAAGTTTGTTTCCTGTCTGGAAAACCCCATTTCCATCACTCTCTTTCCTCCTTATTTTTCAGGTCTCTATAAGGTCTATCTTTCACCAGAGCATCTATATCAATCCACCCTTAATAGGTAAGGAGTCCCTTCTATAAATTTATAGGAGTCCCTCCTATAAATTTTTTTACTTTGTTCTTCCTCCATTAAAGCACTTATGACATTGCATTTCAAACTGCCTGTGCAGTCATCTGTTTCCCCCATTAGAGTTGAAGAGGACTAACATGACTTTTCTCCCCTTACCTCTCTATCTGTAGGGTCTAAGATAAAGCTGCTAGACAGCAATTGCTCAAAAATATCTGTCGAATGGATGCATGTAGGTATTTATTCTGTTAATAAAACATTCCATAGATATATATGCCCTGGTTCAAAAGTAGTGAACATGCTGGGCAAAGTCTCTGGACTTGTAGAACTCATGTTGTGAGAAGGACGAAAAGCAAGTTCACAAATAAATATGTAATATTGTGACAGCTGTTTGTAAATGCTAATAATAACAATTCTTTTTTCTGTAAAAAGGCAAACAATGGTTGAGATGTGGATAGGCTATTACAAAATCAAAAAAGCAGGCAAATTTTAAATCAAGAGAAGCCATGTATTTGTTCATAAAAAAATGGAGTATATTGAAGAGTAAATAGGGAACAGTGCAAAGATTTTTTTTTTTTGTTAAAGATACTGTGATTACCAAGTTTTATCTGAAAATACATTCACCAATAGTAGTGTTTTATTTATATTTCTTAGAGGCAATTCATGGTCATGAAGGAAAGATAAGAAGTAAACAATAAATTGAATATATAGACATATATGTAGATAAACATAGATATACAATGTGGGTATGGATAGAGACAGTCAAGTAAATATTGAAATTGTATAATGCTTTTCAATAACAACTCAAAGATAACCACGACCTTACCATAGAGAGATAAGCAAACATTGTATGTAGACATCTTCTTAATTAGGCTTAAGCAGAGTTGGGAAGAACATGACAGCAAACCAGTGGAAAGGTCTCATGCTTGAACCTTATTGCAACAATAAACAAAACCATAAATCAGTAAATAAATTAAAACTGTGATTTTTATTTATTTGGATTTATGACTTTTTCATTCCCAAATCTTGACACATTCCTTGCTATAGAAACACCATGAAGCATCTGGTTGTAGTAGCAAGGGCTAAGTGCACAGTGTGGAGTAGACATGAAATAATGGTCTGATTGTTGGCTTGGCTTGTTTTAGTGTGTGTTCTACGTGTGCACATCTTTCCTTTCCTCTTGTTACTTAAGGAGCACCTGAAACTCAGTGTTTTTTACAATTTAAAAAAAAGATCAAAACATTATTTAAAAATTATGTCATCTATAAAGTATTCAAGGGGCTAGAAGATTATCTTTTTATTCAAGCTACAGAAACTGACTACAAATACTACTTGCACATACGACATATCAATTTAATCCAAATAACACCTACTATTAAGAATATAATTTTTTCATAAAACGTAGATATGAGAGACACAATCTTCATAATAAGATCATCATGTATGTGAAAATGAAACAGGCCCACCTTATTATTATTACTCAATAATGATAAACTCACTTTTTATGAATCTTCCACCTGATGCACAGCTATAATCACTAATGCCAGAGCATCTTCTCATTTAATAATTGAGGCAGTTGTCATATTTACAAAGATGCCAGGTAAATTCTTGCAACCTTGCTTAGCTTTGACAAGTATTCATTTGCTTTAAGATTGCCAGCAACACATTAGATACGATTAGATGAAAAATAATTTCCATTTGAATGATGTGATCTTTGTGTTCTTTCTTTATTAAAAACACACAATACACTTGAAATGTACAATTGTATGCAAATGATCATTCATAGCATACAAAGTACTGTTTACGTAAAAAAAAATTAGTCTCTATTTTTACATCTAAATGTGCTGAAATGTACTGGGATTGAACACATCTGTTGGAAGAGTTAGATGGGAACCTTGCAGCATGCTTCTCTTGTCTGAACCAGCTCACTGGCACTTAAAACAGAACTAAATAATCTTGCTTGATTTTCTTTTGTCCCAGGAGGAGGATAACTTCTGATTACCTCTTTGGGGAACAAGCACATTTGTTCTGCCTGCAACTAGGAAGTGAAGGCTACGGACCACTCAGAAATTGTAATTCAGGTTCATGCTGCAAATAGTGAAGAATATGTGAAACACAGAGGTCTAAAGGCTTAGTCACTACATCTGAGAGATGTCCATTCACAAATAAGAGCTAGAAATAGGATGGAGATAATGTGTCTTCATACTTGTGTAAATGAACTTTGCAAGTAGGTGCAGAAATTGAAATAATTAGGTAAAAGGAAATTATAGATTGCCATGGTAGGGGATGAAAATGAATGGGAACCTTAGGGGGCTAATAAGAATAAGATGTCCCACTGTGAGAATTACACACATTTGCGCATCCTCATCTACATCACACTTAGATCAATGAAATAGCTAGAACCTTTGAGTTCTAACTCACAAATTCATTGAGGAATATTGTTGAGTTTTGTATGTCTGAACGGGCAGGAGGGAATAATTAGAGTATAAGAAAGCTGCATTGCACTTTAGCCTGGGCAACAGAGCAAGACTCCATCTCAAAAAAAAAAAAAAAGATAGAATGCTGCATCTCAGACATACAGCAGCCAAAATCTCAAATCTATGTCAAGCTCTCTCCTAGACTTGCTTCTATGTAAAAACCACTTGTCTCAAAGAGAAGTTATAAAACAGTGTTTAGGGGCTCAAAATTCAAAGACACTGGAACTTAAATGAACTGGTAAAATCTCAAGCTAGTCTTCCTAAGACCTCTCCAAATGTAATGTGCATACTTCCTACCTATTTTTGAAATATATTTGTCTGATGACAGATTTCTATCATCTGACAAATATATTAATTTAATACATTTATTTAATACATTTATTACATTTATACATTAATACATTATATATTAATACATTTAATACATTTGTTTAATACATTTATGACATTAATTTAATATTTTTATGTTATTATGTCTATACCCCTTATACACGGTTGCCTTTATTGGTATGTGTGCTTGTTTTATTTAAGTATACCACCTTAAGTAAAAACCTGTGTCCATGAATGGCTTTAGGTTAACATATTTTTAAGAGACTCATATTTTAAACATTAATTGATTTGTTATTTAAAGGAGTATTACAGTAAAGTTTTTATAGGATTAGTTACCTCTAATTGATCTTGTGTGTAAGTTAACATTGCTACACACTAGGTATGTTTAAGACAGATTTCTAATACAGTTGTTGGTTACTCATAGATAATCACAGTCTTTGTGATTATCTTTGTATAGAGTCAAGCACAAGCCTTGCCCTTCAAAGACTGGTCTGTATAACAGCAGCACTGGCATTCTCCGGAAGCATGTTATAAATGCAGACTCTTGATCTGAATCTAATAAATCAGAATTTGTGTTTTAATAAGATACTCTGATAATCATTGCTTGTTGAAGTTCAAGAAGCACTTATCTAAACAATTTTGTTTGTAACTTGTTTTATAGATACTGTAAAAAAAAAAAAAAAAAAAAAAAAACCTTAGTCAAATTAAACTTAACGGTTTAATTGAGCAAAGAATGATTCATGAATCTGGCAGCCCCTGAACCAGAATAGATTCAAAGAGGCTCTAGCACAGCTGTCTGGTGGAAGAAGGTTTATGGACAGAAAAAGGGAAGCAAGGCACAAAAATAGCTGGATTGGCTATTTCTCAGCATTTGCTTATATGAACATAGTTTAAACAGTTGACCACCCTTGATTGGCTGAAACTTGGTGGCTGCCAGAAAGCTAGGCTGCAATCTGTTTGCACATACAGTTAGGTTACAGTTCACTGTGTCAAGAGAAACCTTTAAGCTAAACTTAAAATATGTAAAGAGGGCCAGGTGCAGTGGCTCACGCATGTAATCCCAGCACTTTGGGAGGCCAAGGTGGGTGGATCACAAGGTCAAGAGTTAGATACCAGCTTGACCAACATGGTGAAACTCTGTCTCTACTAAAAATACACAAAAAATTAGCCAGCTGCGGTGGTGTGCACCTGTAATTCCAGCTATGCAGGAGGCTGAGAAAGGAGAATTGCTTGAACCCGGGAGGTGGAGGTTGCAGTGAGCTGACATTGCACCACTGCACTCCAGCCTGGGCAAAAGAGCAAAACTTAAAAAAAAAATGTAAAGAGGCAGCTTTAGGCTGAACTTAAATTGACAATTCATATGGTGCTAGCATGGCAGTGGTTCTGATGGTGATGGGGATGTCAGTGACTGCGTTGCCCTCACGGTAACGTGGTAATGGTGCTGGTTAGGGTGGTAGTTGTGGAAGTGATGGTAGAAGCATCAGGCTACTTTCCAGGTCCCACTAGGTGAGGACCTAAGTATATCACTTCAATACTAAAATATTATTGGAAAAATACTAAATACAAATGCAAAAATTATATTTACCAGAAATCCTATGGAGAAAATTTTATGCATTTGAGGATAAATACTGACAGATCCTTTGAAAAAGAAATGAGATCCCCAAAATTTATGCCAGAGAAGACCTGGGGGTGGAAGGGTCTGGCTCATGGGCAGATGATTTTCAGGCCAGAACTGAACTTAACCTAATAGAGTGAGTTTGGCCATACCACTTTCAGCAAAACTTCCCCAAACATTCAGTTGTTTAAATAAATGTTAACAAATAGTTAATATAATTTTAAAGCATAGATAAATCAGTAGCTTTTCCATAATACTAAATTATTCATATGCCCAATGTGTCCTTATGTCTTAGTTCAGCCCCAATTACCATGAATCTTTGGATGTAAACATCTTCCTGCTTTTCTTTCCCTTCTTAAAGCAACATTTAATACAGGAATAATAAACAGCTTAAAAGGGCTGGATAAAGGAAGACCCTCACTTCTGGATAATTTTTATGAGCAATCAGCTCATCCTCTTTAGCTTTTTAGGCCTGTGGCATTTTCCATGATGCCGTTCTAACTCAATAGGATTAAAGTCTGGGGACTTGTAAAGAAAATACTATCTGCATTTATTGCTTAGTTATAATCTCACTCTGCAGTGCATAATGTTTCTAATGTAGGCATTTTGCGGCGGGGATCAAATTTTGTGAAAGGCAGCTGGCAATGTGTCATCTCAGAGCGCTGAACGTGGCACTCCCGCGGCTTGAGACAGGGCTCTCATTTGGTGTCAACGTGGCACCATCACGTGCTTGGAGGTCATTGGGAGACCCTAGCACAGCATTGTAAAATAGTAACTTGGAGCTGCTTAGTCAAGGAACTTTCCCTAATGATAATTTAAAAAGAAAATGATAACAAATGCCCACAATCATTCCCCGACCTAGGTCCTTCTACAGTTCTCTGTGGACTGGTATCGTGTTATCATGTTTGAATGACAAGATAACAAGAACTACTTCTTGATACAGCACTTCATTCTGAATGCATCGCCACTTTATAATTGCAAAGAGAAAGGCAGATTTAAAATACCATTTTGTTTCTTTTTCTTTCATTGTAAAAAGCAACAACAAAAAATTAAAAGCCTGAAAAAGAGAGGGGAGGGTGGGTGTGTTTATCTTGCAAAGCCATGATATATGCCATCTTTCAGGAAAACAATTTTGAAGGGTTAATATTCACAGTACCTGCCTAGGGCAGGAAATTGAACTACCTCTCTGGAGTTCTACTGTCAATTCATCAGGATAAATAAGAGTCTGCAATTCAGCACATGCCAGATGAGAAACAGGCCTTAGGCTGCTTCTGCCATATTTCATTAGCAACCTTTCTGATCACAGGGTAATACCTAAGGAAAAATATGTGTGTCACACAATGCAATGAGGACCAAAACAGGTGGTCAGAAAGAAAAAGAAAAGAAGAAAAAAAATCCTCCATCATAGTTTTCTGACTCATGTAGTTTATGTGAAAGGAACAGAAATAGACTACAACATAATATATAATGAGTTAATCTGTAAACAAACCATTTATCTTTTTACTTGCTTGTTTTTAGGTTAGAGTGGATTAGAATGAACAATTCTACTTATGAAATTTTTGTTTTTGTTTCTTTCATTTTATAGTCACTTATTTAGGGGCCTATAAAATATAAATACTTACTTTAAATATTTGGGATGAGGTGTTAATTAAAAGAAGATCATGACCTTTGAGTCCTTCTAGCAAAATGAAGGGATTTCTTGTGTGCTTGCACTTGAATATTTTTGCATCTTATTTGGATTAAAAAGCTTCCAGGTACCTGAAAAAAAAATCAAATGTGTATTTTTTTATTAATAGGTAAACTTTTGGTATACTCCTTAGTCTTACTGAGTGCAAGATTTCTTGTATTCAAAATGGAAAACAATTATAATCATAGTATTATTGTATGTAGACTTACTGTAAGAATTAAATACGTGATGTGAAAAATCACATTTTAAGCTGTAAAACTGTGTGGCACTGTATAAACCTGATGCAAAGCCACACTGTTTTCATCAGAAAAAGAAATTACCCTGTGGGAATGGAGAGCAGTGATAGTGTACCTGAGATTGACAGTGACAAGAGACAGACAAATTCCTAGGAAGACAGGGACTGGTCCTCAGTGAAACCTGACCTTCAAGACAAAGACTGTTTAAAGCCTGAAAATCAAGCTACTAGATCTGGAGAGAGCTCATGACCAGAGTGGGAACTTTCCCCATCTTACCTTCTCTCTCTTGATTGCTTCCTTCTTGATGATGCCTTTTAATCAACTGAATGGTGCTTTCTCCAAAGCCCACCCATGGACCAATCAGCATGCCCTCCCCCATCCTGAGCCCATAAAAACACCAGCCTCAGCCACATAGTGAGCTACCCACTCTTAGGTCCCTTCTCTGCTGAGAGCTTTCCTTCTGTTGCTCAATAAAATGCTTCCCCACCCTATTCAAGCTCCAGTATCTGCGTTCCTTATTTCTCTGGGGTTCAGGAAAAGAACCTGAAACTCACTAAGCTGTGGGTGGCAGGAACAAGTGAGCTATATAACATGCCCCAATTTGTTGAGATGTCATTGGCGGGAACAAGAGAGAGCTGTAACATTTCCTGGGGCTTTACACCTTGGGATTCCCCTAGCAAAAGCTGTAACAACCCTTTGGGCTTCGTGGTTTCTGGCATCTTCATTTTTTGGGCACCACTGAATCCCTTTTGTCTGGTTGCTGGTGCCCAACATGGGAGCCACTTGTGGCATACTCAGTCCAGCCACGGGCTTAACGTGGAGCCATGGCAGGCATGGGATTCAGGCCAGCAGTGTGAGTTAAGTGCAGCCTGTTGGGCTGAGTGCGTGGAGGGAGCCTGGCAGGCCCAAAAAAAGCCCTGGGCAAAGGTCACAGGAAAGAGCCACTGAGCTCCATTTCCTTCCACTCACTGAACTACAAAAGCCACAACAAAATGGTGAGGAAATGGTGGAAGAGCATGTGGTAATGTACATGAGACGATATTATAGAGAGCATTGAACACAAATTCCTGGATGATTATTAAATTGTGTTGAAGAAAAGCTGATCATTATTGGCAACATGGGCTTTATTAAATTACCTTTCAAGAGGCGGTGAACTGGTTTTGGAGGGAATCCACAGAAGCAGTAGGTGGAACACATACTGTGAAGGATACAGCCCCAGACAGCAGTGTCTTCCTGTAGAGGGTGAAGAAAAGGGAGATCAAAAGAGGAAAGTAAGCATTTGTTTAAGCTTGAGTATCTAATGAAGATAGAAAGCTAGGAGAATAGTTGTTACAGATGCAATTATCTGCCCTAACCTCAAAGTTTCCAAGGAGTGTAAACTTTTTTTTCCCTTTGTATTTTATTTGTTTCTGCTGATAAGAATCCCAGGGACTTCCCAACACAGAAGTTCTAATATACACACACATACACATGGTAATAAAATTTTGACAATTGGAAAAATTTTGTTGAAAAGAATTGTTAACAATATAATAAAATACTTCAGTTTTTCTCATCCTCTGTGTGGTCCTCTGTATTGAAAATACTTGATGTGTTCTAAGAGACCACCCAGAGTTTCAATTCTTACTTTCCTGACTGCTTCCATAATAAAGTTTACATATTCTTAACTTTTTTTCTGCTTTATCTGAATCTGGATTCATTATGTATCTTAAACTTCTCATATATTGGGACTCACTGAATAATATAGCAGAGGTGTAGACAGACAATAAATGCAGTTTTACTAGAGCTAACCTTTACATGCATTGAATAATCCAAGCAGTTAACATCTACAGAAAGGTTGAACCAGATTTATTGCATCTCTTACATAAAAACTCTCAAGCTCAAGCAGTTACATGTAATTATAACCAACAATGGTAAGATCAACTGAGCCACAAATGATAAGGCATGGTAGAATTTCTACTGTGTTTAGAATTAAGGATAATACACCTTCCTGTCTTCAAACACAAAATAAATGTAAAGTGGTCAATCATGAGAGGAAAAATTTCCAAAGTATTTTTCTAGACTGATCTATTTACTGTTCAAAACCTAGTGCGTTGCTTGGCAATAAAAATATCACTAAGGTACAAGATTTCATTAATATAAAACTTCTAGTAAGTCAAATTGTGGTGTTCTTAGAGGTGCTTTAAGACTCCAGTATTATGAATGTGAATTTGTCTCAATTTATATAAATCGGCATTTGAAACTTTTGTTGTGGCTAAGGATTATGATTGCATCCTTAGTTATAAATTATTTTTTCTTTTATATTTAAAATCATTTCTATGACTAACTGAAGCAGGGTTTAGTAATATATACTTGTCAGGATTACTGTAAATCTAGAGATTAATAATAGAAACAATCAACAATTTTCTTCTCTTTTCCATTTATTTTCTAAATATCTGACTTTTTAAGCCAAAATTATATCTTTTTATTGGAAGACCAATCCTTTAAAGCTGAGTCTCAGACTCTTAACTTGTTTTGTGTATTTCCATTTACTTCTATGTGATGACAAGTACATGATGTCAATGTTAATAAAGTGACTTGAGAGCCTTGAAAATGTGTCTCTTCTATATTTAAGTGTTATTTCAAGTTCTTTTCAGCACAGAGTTAAGCATTTCATAAGTGCCAAGTGTTGCTCTTGAACGCCCTGGTTTAAAAATACAAATTATAATTTAGAAAATTGCATATTTTTATCAACTGAAATACTTCATTTTTAATTAAGAGAGAGATGAATCACTCTGGATTCTTAACCAATGTGAGTTAAATTTTAAGAGAAAATGCAGTAGAAATATGAAAACTTTTAAAGGAGATTTTACATTTTTCACAGGAAGATCAAGTCTGTTTGGTTAGTGTTACAATGTGGGTGATGATAGACATTGTATACAATACTTTACCAATCAGAAAGGACAGGAATTTGTGTTCACAGCACTAGTGCTAAAATTGACAGGGCAATAGTCAGATTTGAAATTAAATATTAAAGAGTATTTCTCCCTTTCCTGTTCTCCTCAGGTAGCTCTTCCACCAAGGGTTATATCTCCTCCATGGTTCTAGCTTCCATTTAAAAGGCCAGAGGTGGCCTCCATGTCCAGATTCCGGAAATGCTTTCTCATCTCCCAAGCCCAGGAATGGTGTCCTGCTGTTGCTGCACTATCTTCTGTAGATTCTTCAGCGATTCTATCACATGATTAACCATTCTCTCTATTCTAATCCTGATATCCAAGTATTTTCCATTTTCTTGCTAGATCCTGACTAATAAGCAGCTTTAGATGTCTAATTTTTGGTCATATCATATATGTATTGTCTAATATGATTTTTCTAATAGAGAATGAATTTCCAGCATATTTTTAATGTAGAAAACACTAAAGTTGATATGGAAATCCTGGTATTTGATAGTACGTTTAGAAAGTCCCTTTTTTTTTCTTTTCTGATGGAGTTTTGCTCTTGTTGCCCAGGCTGGAGTGCAATAGCACAAGCCCAGCCCACTGCAACCTCTTTCTCCTGGGTTCAAGTGATTGTCTGACATCAGCCTCCTGAGTAGCTGGACTACAGGTGCCCACCACCACATCTGACTAATTTTTCTTTTTGTATTTTTAGTAGAGATGATGTTTCACTATGTTGGCCAGGCTGGTCACAAACTCCTGACTTCAGAGGATCTGCCTGCCTTGGCCTCCCAAAGTGCTGGGATTATAGGCATGAGTTACTGCATTCCGCCCCAATATTCTATATTTGTTTGCATTGTTTACTGGAGATACTACAGAGTAGAGCATATTTTGGCCTATGTTAGGAAGTATAGCATATTTTAGGAAAGTCTTGCATAAACAGAACATTAAAATGGATTAAGCCCTTCACTTTTCACTTTTCAGTATGGTGCCTGAGGTGAACTTGTAAGGAGTTCATATATTCAGTCAGAAAGTGAAGAGATTTGAATGTTGTAGGGTTGACTAAGTCCTCTCTCTAGAAATATTGGGTTTATCTCAAAAAAACTTCTTATGCAAAATGGGTGACACAAACTGAATATCATAGCCCTAGAGATGATTTAACCTTACTGAACACTTGCATGGTTACCTCTTTGCCTGTTTGCCTAACAAAAATTGCCACATGAAGCAAAATTTGGTCAGGTTCTTCTGTAGTAAGGTTGTGAGAAAGAGCTAACAGAAACCGACCATTGGCAAGTACTGTAATCTACAGAGAAGAAAAAAAGATAATGAGAGAGAAAAGAGAAAGGAAGGAAGGAAGGAGGGGAGGAGGGAGGCAGGGAGGGAGGAAAGGAGGAAAGGAAGGAAGGAAGGAAAGAAGGGAAGGAGGGAGGGAAGAAAGAAGGGAGGGAGGGAGGCAGAAGGCAAGAAATGAAAAGAGAAAACCAAAAAAAAAGCCAACTAGTATCTATATTGAGAAATACCCAAACCAATTCAAGTCACATATAAAATATTTTAACTAAGGTACAGAATTCTGAGATTCTAACCAGCTGGCTTTGGTTAACAATTCAATAAAAGACTGATACTTAGTATATACTGCCCACCTCACCTTATATAAGCAATAGACCATTTCTATGTAGAATGTGGTTTAAATATTCAGAGCAAGTCAATGCTTCAAAATACTAACTGGAGACAATTAATGAAGCACATTAGGAACATATGCAAAAACATTACTGCTTGGTACATTGGTGTGCATTGTGTACATTTATGTTTATCATAATGTAAATCATGATCATCTATCATTTATCAGGACCAATACAATTTCTTGCCAAACAATTAAAAGGGTCTCAGGGAGGCTAAGTATCAATAAAATTAGCATAATAAAGACAAAAATACTGAACTCTAATATTCCATTCCATAATGCGTATCTGCCTATATGTGTTTGAAATAAAGTTCATCATTGTAAGAGTTTTACTACTGATTTCCACAAAATAAGAAAAACAGAAAGATTGAAAATGAAATATGTAGAAATAAAGTATCAAAATACTGTATCCTCTTTAAAAACACAGATTGTTTCTCAAGTTATTATCTACTTTAGCACTCTATTCATTAAACCTTCTTTCTCATCATGGCCCATCACTGACTATGAAATATAATATACTTGCCAAAAATAAGCCATCAGCCCTGTGATGGAAGAACTGCTCATGTTCAGTACCAAAATCTCCACTGCTTGTCACCTGGCATAGAGTAGGTGCTCAATAAATGATAATTGTTTTAAACATTTCTGCTTTGCTAGTGCATGTGTGAGAATTATTTTGCTACATTTTATATGACTACAAATTATTTGTATTTATAAAGCGTAATATTTTAAATGAGTTTGTACAGTATATTCTGGACATTTTATCACTACTAATAATATTGATATTAGGTATAAAGCATTCCCAATTCTGAAAAACTAACAAAGGGACTTTGAAATTCAGCCTATTAAGGGCATACAATTCTCCAGTCTAACTGGTATTTTCCATCTCTACTGCAGAGTAGAGTCAGTTAAGTAGAGTCAGTTAAATATTGTTAAAGGGTCACACTACTCACAGGAACCTACAGATTCAGTACTATTCCTATCAAACTACCAACATCATTTTTCACAGAATTAGAAAAAAATACACTAAAATTCATATGGAATCAAAAAAGAGTGTAAATAGCCAAATCTATCCTAAGCAAAAAACAAAAACAAGAAACAAAGCTGAAGGCATCATGTTACCTGACTTCAAGCTCTACTATTAGGCTACAGTAACCAAAACAGTATGGAACCGGTACAAAATCAGACACATAGACAAATGGAACAGAATAGAGAACCCAGAAATAAAGCCACACACCTGCAACCATCTGATGTTTGAGAAAGTCGATAAAAATATGCAATGGGGAAAGGACTTCCTATTTAGTAAATGGTACTGAGATAGCTGGATAGCCACATGAGAAGAATGAAACTGAACCCCTACTTATCACCATATGCAAAAATTAATTCAAGATGGACTAGAGATTTAAATGTAAGACCTCAAACTGTAAGAATCCTAGAAGAAAACCTAGAAAACACCATTCTGGACATTAGCCTCAGAAAATAATTTATGGCTGAGTCCTCAATAGTGATTGCAACAAAAACAAAATTTGACAAGTGGAACTGAATTAAACCAACGAGCTTCTGCATTGCAAAAGAAACTGTCAACAGAGTAAACAGGCAACCTGCAGAATGGGAAAAATATTTGCAAGCTATGGTCTATTATGCAGAATCTACAAGGAACTTAAATAATTGAACAAGTAAGAAACACATAAGCCCATTAAAAAGTGGGCAGAAAAAAAATGAACAGACACTTCACAAAAGAAGACATATGTGCAGCTAACAAATATAAGAAAAAATGCACAACATCACTAATCATCAGAGAAATGTGAATCAAAACTACAATGAAATACCATTTCATGCCAATCAGATGGCTGTTTCTAAAAAGTCAATATGTAGCATTCTGGTATGGCTGTAAAGAAAACGGAACATTTATACACTTTCGTTGGAATGTAAATTAGTTCAGCCACTGTGGAAAGCAGATTGGAAATTTCTCAAATAACTTAGAATTACAATTGAACCCAGCAATTCCATTACTGGGTGTATATCCAAAGGAAAACACATCATTTTACTAAAAAGAAACACGCACTCATATGTTTATTACAGCCCTATTTGCCATAGTAGAGCAATGAAATCAACCTAGTTGCCCATCAGTGGTGGATTTAATAAAAAAAAATGACAAATATACACCATGATATAGTACATAGCCATAAAAAAGAACAAAAGTTTGTCCTTCTCAGGAACATAGATGCAGCTGGAGGCCATTGTCCTAAGCAAACTTACACAGGAACAAAAAATCAAAACTGCATGTTCTCACTTCTAAGTGGGAGCTAAACATTGAATACTCATGGACATAAAGATGGCAACAATAGATACTGGAAACTACTAGAAGGAGGAGGGAAAAGGTGGACAAAGGTTGAAAAACTACTGAGTACTATGCTCACCACCTGGGTTACAAGATTAATCATACCCCAAATCTTAGCATCACACAATATACTTGTGTAATGAACCTGCTTATGTACCCTCTGAATCTAAAATAAAAGCTGAAGTTACATTAGAAAATGTGTGAAAATTGGAAGAGACTAATGCTCCATTTGGGGAACAGTTAGGATGAAATTCAGAAAACATTTTTTTTGCAATTGGGCAGAGTATACTAGGTGCTGGGTATACATTGTTAGAACAAAAATAAAACACCCTACAAGATCCCCTACTTTTATATAACTTACATTTCAGTGGTGAGGATAAATTATAGTGAATCGGAAAATAGATAGTGTCATCGGCTCTTATTAGTATATAGAAAAAATCCTCTGAAAGCCTGTGCCGTACCAAATAATGAAATCTCAGATTTTTTAAAGCTTTATTTCTAGACTCATAATACATAAATGTCAGTCTTCCTTATCCCCATATTCACCCCTGCTGTCCCTCACCTGCAATAGCTACGAGTGATGAACAAATAGAAAAGATGAAGATTTCAATCCTGGAAGTTAAGCCTTGGGTCAATTTCAAAGTCTGTGAGCCGAATCTGAGATTGCTGCATTTATCTGGGGACCCTCTAATGATAATCAGGAGATCCCAATTCAGTAACATTACCACCTTCCCCCACATAAAAAGCAAAACATAACTTGAAGAAAATTTCCATAACCTATGGCCTGAGGAGTATCAAAGATTAAAATCTAACGAATATGAGCTCATAAACGAAGATCACTAAACCCTCAGGGATTTAGTTGCCATAACAGGAGCAAGAAAACAAAGTCAATTTGAGAGATGCACGGATTTCAAATATTGAAATGATCAAACTACAACATAATTATACATGAAATATTTATTGAAATGAAGATATAGCTCTGCAAGTGACCAAGCAATCATGCAAAAGAACCAAACAAAATTTTGAAATGAAAGTGATAAATGTAAAGACAAAAACCTTCAAAAAATGCGTTAAAATGTGATTCAGCTAAAGAGAAAATTTGTGGATAGGAAACTCATTTACAATGCAGGAGAGGGATAAGAATACAGAACATAAAAATATGAGAAAGATGGACTGGGAGCAGTGGTTCACTCCTGTAATCCTAGCACTTTGGGAGACTGGGGTGAGAGGATTTCTTGTACCCAAGAGTTTGATACCAGCCTGGACAACACAGAGAGAACCAATCTCTACAAAAAAATTAAAAAATTACCCAGATGTAGTGGTGTTGACCTGTGGTCTCAGCTACTTGTGAGTCTCAGGGTGGGACGATCACTTGAGCTGAGAGGTTGAAGCTGCAGTGAGCCATGATCACGCCACTGTACTCCAGCCTGGGGAACAGAGAAAGACCCTCCCCGCACCCTCCCACCTCTCTCTCTCTCTCTTTCTCTCTCTCCCGCTCCATGATCATGCCACATGCCACTATACCACTGTACTCCATCCTCTCTCTGTCTCTGTCTCTGTCTCTGTCTCTCTCTCTCTCTCTCTCTGTGTGTGTGTGTGTGTGTGTGTGTGTTTGAGAAAAAGACTTTAAAGAGTTAAGGAGTATCAGAGAGAGTAGAACTAAAAGTCTTAAAACATACTTTAAGTATATAGTTGCTTTTTAAGGTTGGTGTTAGGTTCATGACTATGCCAACTGTCAGGTTCACAGTTAGGTTCCAGCCCCTGCTGAGGTTTGCGGGGAGTGGGCGGATGGGCCAATAGCTAAAAGAACACTTGGGGCCCGTAGGCAGGTGAAATGTAGCTTTATTCAGCAGCTCTCTCATCAACACTGCTCTTTCTGCGCTGCTTGCTCTGGCTGATCCCTAACGCACAGCTGTGGGGTCAGCTCTCCTTCAGGGTCAGCAGCTTAACTCTTTCTTACTCTGGGCATGAGTGAGCAGATCTGTGTCCTGGCTCCCTCCTGTCCACTGGCAAGATGGGTAGTTTTGTCTCTCTCTCTCTCTCTCTCTCTCTCTGGGCACAAGCATCTGCACAAGAGTACCTGTACAGCATCAGCAGGGCAGTTATACCTTTTCCAAACAATAGTGGCAGTGAGCCAAGTATGAGCTTACACAAACAGGTTATATAACAAGTGGAGGCATGCCCCTGTGCACCCATCCCACTGAGTTGTGCAGGCCTGGATGTCTGCCATGGCCTAATTCTTGACCAAAGCCCATCCATGTACCTTCCAGTTGGAACTGGCAATCATACCAAAGAAAATAAAATAGCCTGTAATCTAGTATTATGGTTACTTAACTTTATAGAAGAGTCACAGACAGAAGATGCAGTAAGTAGAAAAGTTTCAGCTAATCAAAAGACACCAAAGCTATCCAAGTCCCAAGGTATGTGAGAGTTACATAGTAGCTGCAGCCTCTATTCCCCATCAGCCTTAAATGTTACTCTAGCTACCCAGTCCCTGGCCTGCATGCCAATGCAGGACTCCCACAGTCCTTGTGTAGGATCCACATTCATCATTGTTTTAACTCTTGGCAAAGTAGTAGTGCTGTGGGACCAGAAAGAAATTTTCAAAAGGGCTCCATTAGCTAAGGCCTAATGTTAACCACTCACACATGTATATTTATTTGGAATTTTAAGAAGAGAAAATAAAAATAATAGAAGTAATTTTTAAAGATAAAAATGCAGAAAACACTTTATAGCTAATGGAAGGATTCACCCAGACTTTATAGAGAGTGCCTCTATTATGAAAAAGAAAAACAAATGGGGCCAGGCATGGTGGCTCATGACTCTAATCCCAGCACTTTGGGAGGCGGAGGCAGGCAGGTCACAAGATCAGGAGCTCAAGACCATCCTGGCTAACACAGTGAGACTCCATGTTTACTAAAAATAGAAAACAAAAATTAGCCAGGTGTGGTGGCATATGCCTGTAGTCCCAGCTACTCATGAGGCTGAGATAGGAGAATTGCTTGAACTCAGGCAGAGGTTGCAGGGAGGCTGAGATCCTGCCACTGCAATCTGTCCTGAATGACAGAGCAAGACTCCTTCTCAAAAAAAAAAAAAGGAATTCATACCTAGGCACATAATGAAACTGGGAAACACCAGAGAATAAGCAAAGTCTTCAAATACAGCTAGAGGAAGGAAAAATTCTCTTGAAAAAAAATGTCAGAAAACCAAACAATTATATTAAAGTAAATCTATCTTTGAACTGTTTTTCTGTTGTATTAATCCACCTGTTTGTCTACATTGCCTTCATCAATCTACCTTCCTAATAAGTCTTGAACTTATAATAAGTATATACATCCTCAACTTTCTTTTTAAAGATGACTTTGATATTATGTATTAGTTTTGAAATAGGTTGCCACTTTTTACAAAAAAATATTAAAATAGAACACAAAAATAATTGACACTTTTGAACTTTATTTGATTAGCATATTTAAAAGGTTACCCTGGAGTCTATGTGGGAAATGAAATTAAGAAAAGCAAGAAAAAAGTGGGAAGCCCCATTTGGAGATGATCACAGTGGCTGTGAAATAGTAAACAGTGAATGGCTTCAGAGTAGGTTTTGTGGGAAGGCGGAACAGAACTGGCCAATGCATTGGACATAGGGGCATTAAGGGGAAAAAAGGAAACACGAAAAACTGCTAGGTTTTTTTTTTTTTTTTTTTTTTTTTTTTTGTGCACCCAGTATGCCACTGGCATTTAATGAGTTAAATTTAATGGGTTTTAAAGAGTGGTTTAGAGAACTTACAAAGATAATTCAAATGTGATGTCACAGACAGAAATGTAAATTTTGGAATCATCTTACATACAAATGAAACATGCATGAATTGGATGTGATTATATAACATCTTCATGGTACTACATTGTTAAATTATTGGGAAAAACTGCTACATGGTCTTTGGGGGAATGATAAGAGGCTAAATAAATAAATCTGCAAAGTAACTTCTGAGTTGGGTTTAAGCACAGCACTCTGTAATTATAAGGCCCTTTTCTTCAATCATCTCATTTTGTGAACCTATTTAATCAGTCTGGGTGTATAATAAGCCAAGATGTCATGTAAGCCTCATGAATAAATTTACTAAGGGCAGAAATCATGTGAAATGTGTCTAAAATCTGAGATGCTAATGGATGGGGTGGGTAGCAAATTCCTAAACTGAAAAGAATTATGTTGAGGATGTAAAGTTGGCCTCAGCTGAAGTGAAACCACCAGGGCCCAAGTTACAAAATCTCATATACATATACTCATATATGTACTCATATACATACATACATATATATATACACACATACATACATATATATATATGTATGTATATGAGTACATATATGAGTATATATATATGTACTCATATATGTATGTATATGAGTATATGTGTTTGTCTGTGTGAATAACAGTTGTTGGAATTTGTAGTTGCTATTTGATTCCAAAAAACAACATGTTAAAGAATGTTAGCTTGAATGATTTCCCTAGAAGTAAGTTTTATAGCAAAAGACTGATAGAAATGCAAAGTCATAAAAGAGATAATTTTCTAAAATCTTCAAAAGGAGAAAAAGACTTAATCTTGTGACCCTTTCCAAAATGCTGAGTTTATATGTCACTAGATACAGAC